CCATCCTCCACCATCCTCCACTATCCTCCACCGGCCTCCACCATCCTCCACTATCCTCCACCGGCCTCCACCGGCCTCCACCATCCTCCACTATCCTCCACTGTCCTCCGCCATCCTCCACCATCCTCCACCATCCTCCACTATCCTCCACCAGCCTCCACCAGCCTCTGCCTGCCCCATCGTGGCTTCCTCGCGACGAGATTTACACCTCGTCCCCCTGGAATTGGCAGCGCGGCCCCGGGGACGCCCAGGGTCGCGCTCGCGGCGCGGCAGGACCCACTTCTCTTTCCCACCTCTCAGCTGCGTGATTTAGGCGTCACGCTGCCGATGGGTTAGGGCTGGGTTTTTCTGCAGCAAGATAAGTACCRCGGCTTGCTGTATTTGGCACTAAAATGCGAGCCCTGGGGTGGGCGCACACGGAGCTTTGGGGGTTTAGGGATGCTGCTGAAAATGGCTGGAGCTAAAGCAGCCTCTGCCAGGGGCTCCGGCCCCTGCCTGCCCTCCCTGTCGGGGCTCTGGGCTCGAGCTCTTCCTAACGGGATGAGCAAACAGCAGAATGAGAGCGCAAACGATCTGCTGAACATCCCCAGTGAGGACAGAACCAACACCAGAAGAGGACCCAGAAAACACCAAAAGCAGCAGCCAAAAGCAGGTCCATTTTTGCACCAATTCCCAAACTACCCAAGTGGACCCGCAACCCAAAGCGCTTCCTCTACCCCAACGCCTCGGAGCCACAGGTCCAGCCTGGCGCCCGCGACCCAGCGAGAGCCTTCGGTAGGAACCCGCTGATCCTGCCCAGGGTCTTCCTCGCCCCCGCGACCCACTCGAGGCTCCGGGAGCACCGGCCACAAACCCCACTCGTCGTGTCCAGCCCTGAGCTGCGGTGGGCAGCGGCAGCAGGAGAGAGGAAGGCCGGGTTGCTGGCAACGGGAATGGAAACAGGGAACAGCTGCTGCAGGAGAGCGAAAGCCCAATTCTGGGGGCAGTAAATGCCAATCCAGAGCAGCTCCGTTAGTTTGAGCCCTGGTGCAGGTTTAGCTCAGCTGTCCCGCTGGCCAGGCACAAAGGAATTAGTGGCTCTAAGCAGCAGTGTCAATGGAGGAGGAACAAGGAGGAGCGGGGAGGGATGGTCACACATCATGCAGTGYGGAGGGAGGAAACTCACGGATACTCCTGACGGAGGCGCGGGACGGCTTGTCGGATCGGAAAGAGGAGGAAGCTGCTTCCAAACAAAAAGAGACATGCTTAAAACAACGGGAACTGGGGAGGGGGGAAGGCAGGCCCCAAAGGGAGCATCTGTTAGGAGAAACAGGGCATCCCGCATGCTGCGTTAGAGACCCATCCGCCTCGGCGGGCCCACGGAGGGAGGGATGCACCATGATGCAGGACAGGCAGGGAGGGAAAGAGGTTTCATTTCTCCTGTCTGCCACTGCTGGCACTGACTGGACATTACGGGTCGGCGTCCCCAGCAGGAGACTCTGCTGGGACTGCCCCAAAGCCACGAGAAAAGAGCCCGAATGTTGAGGCATTTCTGGCATCTTCAGAGCCACCAGCTCCCACAGACACATCGAGCAYGTTAGAAATAACATTTCCAGGCAGAGAAGTTCCCCTCCATCCCCAGGAGGCCATCTGTGCTCCGGRGGCACCTGCGTGCACACACGTGGGACAGCTTTACCTGAGACTTTGGGGGTAGGATTGCAAGAGAAGCCCCCGTTGGACTGGTCGCTTTCTCCAAAATCATACGTCTCCCTGGGCTTGGGCTTGTACTCYCGCTTGGGGCGCGAGGAGGCCTCCCTCATCCTAGAAGAAGGAAAAGACCCGTGACTAAACTGAAGTGACACCGAGTACGACGAGATCAACTCACATCTGGGCTGCTGCTGTGAATGCTTTGGAGAAATGAAGGTCCTGTGAAGGCTGGAAGAGGGAACCTTCCTCCCCACGYCCCCAAAATCTCCTGCTGCCCAGGCAGGTATCACTCACCGAGGCCAMTCTCAGCTCTTGTCATCTCAGCCCGGGACTGAGCCCGTCCTGCAAGGCTCTATTTGCACCACATGCTAAAAGAAGTTGTTGCAGACCGCTCCGAGCAAGGTGGCACCTATTCTACCTGGTGGCTTTGCTGAGGTGCAGASTGCTTAGCTGGTGCACAAAAATCCGTGCACCCCTCTGTGCTGGGGCATTTTAAAGACGGATCGTCTCCGTTCTCCAGGGTTTGCGAGCCCTTCACACTGCCCCTAGGGGAGGCAAGATGCTCYGGGCTCTGCCTTGGAGGCGGCCCAGGCGGGTTTTGCTGCTCGCAGGCCAGCAGAGGACACTGGTGCAGCAGCTCGCACGCTCACACTGGCAGGATCCTCCCAGCTCCGGATTCACTGGGGCCACAGCGGCCACTCAGCGATTCGGTGCGTGACGAAAGCAGAGGCAGCAGCGCCAGATCAGCGAGAGCTGCAGCCGCCGCCCTGGCCCCGACCCAGCCGCTCTGCGTCAGGCTGCCCCAGGCCTGGCTCAGGACGGGAGGCCTGGGCAGGATGAAACCTCTTCTCCCGCCGTGGACGGGGCTTGCGGAGGTGCTCGTGCAGGCGGGACRGAGCAGCAGGGACGGTGCCAGTTCACGAAACAGCTCGCGGGTGATTGCACAGGAGCTCTGTGTCCCCTGGCACCTCAGCAGCTGCCACGTGCACTCTAGGGAGCGCCTGGAGATCCAAGGAGGGACAGGGAGAGCGGCAAGGCCAGGCAGGATCACAGTCCTTCCTGCTCCCGCGCACCAGGATCTGCCGCCCGGAGCAGCAACACGCGGCTCGAGGCTCCAGGACACGGACAGCAGAGCCACGTCGGCAGCAGGGTCCACCGGGAGACTCTCGTGCACAGAAAGGAGAGACAAGGCCGGCTGGAGGATGAGGAGTCTGACCTSGGCAGCTCAGAGACACATTCCTCTAAGGAAGTGATCTCTCCAGCTTTCTCCTGCCAAATTCAGCCCCAACTTCCCTGGGAGCAGCACATACTAATCCAGGCACGACTCAAACTAACAGGCATCACTTAGAGATGAAGCAAGCACAGGAGGGTGGCTTCAGATGCCAGAATGTACCTGTCACTGCGGATGGGCTGTGCAGCTGCTACTGCTCCCTGCAATCCAAAGRAGCTTTGGATTGAGGCAACACGGACTGCAAGAGGTGGCCTTAATACCAGGGGATAAACTCAGGTACTTAGAGGCACGTGTGGCAGGAGGAGCTTGTGGCTGTGACGAGCAGGAGCCCCTGCAGCACCCCGGGCCTCACCTGCGCTTGAGCTTGTCCGCGAGCTCGTCCAGGATCTGCACGGCCTGCCGGTGGTAGTCCAGCTGAGCGTCCACCAGCGCCGAGAGCTGGCTCACCTGCTCGATCTGCAGGGATCACACCAAGGAGGCATGAGCGGCTTTTCCCTGCTCCCAGGAGACGCCCGGCACACGTGGAGCAGCGTTCCCGAGGAGTCAGGGAGAAGGCTGAGCATTTCAGGGGTCACTCAGTGACTGGGACCCACCAGGACAAGAGGCTGCTGCCTGCCACCCTCAGGGCTTCACTGGCTCTTCAAACCCTTCCCACGTGAGCTGCCTCAGCTGCCCAAACTTGTTCCCACTCGTTTAATAAGCACATCAAGAAGAGACCCACTGAGTGCAGCTCCAGCCTCTCCCTCTGCCACGGGCTGGATCAGGAGGAAGGGGCTAGAGAGAGGAAAGAGGCCTGTGACACCACGTGCTGCGTACTCAGATCTGGGTTATCGGAGAGCAAAACTACACTGCCAAGAGCAAGAGTGGAAGTCAGTGTCTCTAAGTCATCTGTTCCTCAAGAGATCCCACCTCCAGGTACTGGACACAGGCACAGTGGCAGAATCACAGAATGGTTAAGGTTGGRTGGGATCTCTGGAGATCATCTAGTCCAACCTTCCTGCTCTAGCAGGGACATCCAGAGCAGTGGCCCAGCAGCACCCAGCCTAGGGCAGAGGTTGAGGCTGTGTCCTCTCCAAGCACTCACATCAGTTTCTAGGAGGTTGTGCATGCTGGTCTCAGCTACTTCCTTGGACTCTTCAAATTTCTCCATGGCCTGTCGAAGTTCCTCATCAGGGATCTTCCCCTGTCGCTTCTTCTTGTAGTCGAAGTCCAAGCGTCGGCCTTCCAGCTTCTTGAGATGGTGCTGGGGAGAGGAAGGTTACAAGCTCATGGCGCAAGTGAAGCATATTGTAAAGTTTAATGCACAGCAGCCCTGAATGGAACATGAGAATCAAATCTGGTGATCCCAGACCRTATGTCAGCACTTACTAGCAGAATGTCCTTCACAAATTGACCCAGGTATATGAAGTTCCTACATTCAAACCCACATGAAGCCTTGCGAGCTGCTCAGGAGCAGGAGCAGTGRTGCTGAGCACATTGAGAGGGGGCAAATTCTAGTGAATCTGATGAGAGCAAGTCCACAAAGTGCAGGGGAACAGACCTGGTACCCAAGCCGGTCCACCAGGATTCCCACTGCAATGGAGCAAGTGATTGCATGCACTGATAGTCAGAAGAGGCCAGAATCTTAAGAAATGAAAGAAGAGGGGAAAAAAAATCTCAGGTTTTACCTGGATTTCTTTCAGGTCCTTGTCACACAGGTTCTGGAGGGGATCAATAAAATTTTGTTTGACTTCAATATCCAGCGAGTCCTTCACTTCAGCCAGCCGTTTCATAGATTCGCCAGCATCGAGAAGCGCATCACCTTCGAGTGAGGAGGGGCAGGGAGGAGAAGGGAGAGGGAACAGAGGCCAGCCCGTTACGTGGGGTCTGTGGCTGCATGCAGGGCCATTCCGCCACGGCGCCCAGCGTGTGCAAGCTCCTTCGTGTCAAACATCCCTGCGTTTCCATCTCTCCGGAGCATCGCCCGGTGCGAAAACAGCACGGCCAGGCTCACTGCGAGACCAACACGCCTTCAGAGACAGGGTTGATCTCCCCCAGGAGGGAGGAAAAGGTAGAAAAATAACTGGAAAACTCCCCTGGATGTTCAGGGAGTCCCTGYGCTCGTAACTGGCAGCGCGGCGCTAACCTGGCTCTGCTCCTTGGCCTCTGCTGGCCCCTGCACGGGCACGTTGGGCCGGAGTCAGCCCGGCCGTCCCTTTGTGCGGATGGTTTGAAGCCAAGAGCAGCACGCTGAGCAAATTGGTGAAGTTTCCCCAGATGCTGGCAGCAAACCCGCGCCTTTTATTGATTTTAGACTCTACCCTCTCTCGGGCCAACCTTCTCTCCTYCAAATTGAGACAGCTCCAAGCTGCTTATTGAAACCGAGCTAGTTTTGTGCTTTTCCAAGGTTCCTACCACAATAAGAGCTAAGCCAGACAGACTACCAGCAAAGCATTTCTAGTCTTAGCTTTTCTATTCCAGTGGAAACCTTTTATAGATTAAATTATTCCTGYATAGTTTTGGCAAACCAACCATTTCAGCACTGGATTAGTACAAGAGAATGTGGAAGTGAAATAGATGGTGAAGTGAACCACCAGCCTACTGCCTATGCGGAAAAAATATACAGAGTATATTTGCAAAAGAATTGCTTCAAGCTTGATACCACTAAATAACCTGTCACAGGGATGGGTGTGGTATTAAAATATAAATTTATCAAGTTAAGTGTTCCTTTAAAGAGAGGCCATTAAAGGAAGTGAGATTTGGTATGCTCGTCTAAAAACTTCCTTCCCCCGTGTGCTCCACAATAGCTCCGGTTCCTGCAGGGCAAGAGGGACGCGGGGCTTGGAGCAGCCAGGGACGCCCTTGAGACCCATTTGTCACTGCCACAAAGCAGCCAGAGCTTTTTAATTTTCCTGAGGCAAGAAGGGCCCTCCCTGCCATGGGAGTCATCGGGCAGCTGTGCGCTGTCCTGGATCCGTCACATGTGCAGACCCATGTTTTAGCGGATTAAGGCTGATGTCACCGAAGGGCTTCGCCCCCTCCTCCCTGCAAGGCACACATGGGTCGTTTCATGGTTAGGAGGAATTACTACACGGAAAGATTTCCTGGCTCCGGCCTCCCTAAAGTGGAGTTTTAGTTGGAAACCGTGCAGCAAAACTCCTCATCTCATTCAATCTCTTTTCCACACCACCACTCTTGAGTTTAGAAGTGAGGAGGTCATTTTTCCTACATGCAGATTCCTGTTTTCCCAAAGCTTAATAATAATTAAGAAAAAAGCATTACAAGGTGGGCTTTTCACCCAAAGCAATGAGTACAAGGGGATCGGGCACGGTGCGCACGAGCCCTCGCCGCGGGCGCCAGGGCACTCACCGAAGTTGGAGTCGTCGCCCAGCTCCTTGCCGTAGCGGATCATGCTCTCGCCCAGCAGCCCTTCCGACTGCGGGTAGCCGGGGTTCTTCACCTGCCCGCGGATCTTCGACATCGTGTTCAGCATGGTCAGCTTGGCTCTGGAAGCTGCCACAGAAACGGCCACAGCCGAGTTGGCCACCGCTTGCGGCCACTGCCCGCGTCACTCCCCAAGCGAGCGAGCCCTGTTGTCTCCATCTCCCAGAAATACCACTCRCTACGAAGAGAGGAATCTCTTTGCCAAGGCAGGGAGCAAAAATCACTCCCTGTAGGCTGCGAGCGAAGGCCGAAGGAGGTTCCCTCGGTCCCCGGAGGGCTCTCCGAAGGGCTGGCTGGAAACGAGCAGCACAGCAGGCTCCAGAGGCAATGGCTACAAGCCCAGGCACCCCGTGTCAGCCCAGGGATGCGGCTTTTTCTGGACACTGCATGAAAACTGGTCCCCTTTGGTTTCTCTCTAGGTCTGGGGATAAAGGCGACTCAGTGTCTTACAGTCCAGAAACACAGCACCGGGCAAAAGGGGCCTCTGGATCCCCCAGCGAGGCCAGTAAGGGAGGAACAGGAGTGGAACGAGGCAGCCCAGCTTGCACCAGCAAATCTGATGTTGAAAACGGGCTGCTGGCTGACGTGCCGAGGCCTGAAATGGTCTGTCCTGGTGCGTCTCTCTGCCTCTTTCCCCGGGCAGCTGGGACAGAGGATGGAGAGGTGCAGCACTCACCTGGGTTAGGCTGCAGGTACTCTATTGTCCTGGTCAATACTTCTGTTACTGCCTTGCTGGTCAGATCCACTTTCTGCAGGAAAAACAAGCCGGGAAATTCAGCTCTGAGCTCTGGAAAGGCCACAGAGGAGACAGCGGGTGTTTTTGGGATTTTTCTCACTCCCTTTCTCACCTTTTCCATTTCCTTGAAGTCATCGTCGAGCTTGGTCCCTTCAGCCCCTCCAACCTTCTCGCTGACCAGCTGTGGAAACAGAGCGAGGAGGAGGCATCAGGAGGCATSAGGCACACCAGAGCTCCTCAGGCCTCCTCCCGTCTCCTGGTTGAGGTTAACGCGACTGTCAGTTGGTGCCGCTGGCATGTGCTCGGCCTCCACAGCAAAACCACACGTGGCTCTTTGATAAAGAGATTAAAAATCTCTTTATTAGATTAAAAACGGCCCCGTTAAAAATCCAGGCACCTCTTTGCTCGGCAGCATCCAACAAGGCACCCTCAAAGCACCGCTGAGTCCCCAGGCAGGCTGGATATTCCTTACCGCAGGGGYGATGCGGAGCTCTCTAAATCCCACCACACAGCTCCGACTCCAACGCTTGCTGGAAAAAGCGAGCAAGAGTCTCACAACTCCATTTTGAGACAGGCTGGGGTTTCACACATGGCAAAACGCAAGGAAATAGGGAATTAACACACTCGGCTCGCAGCAGCCAACACGGGAGCTGAGGGCAGAGCTCCCAACGGGCCGAACCAGAGCTCCCCGCGCTCCCACGGGAAGAGCTGCTGGGAATGCCGGAGGAGCTCAGGGACCGGGCCAGGGTTGTGAAGTCTCTTCAAGCAGAGCATAAAGATCTGCAGAAACTACAGCGACGTTTTCCAGTCCTTTTATCAAGGCTCCTCCGATGGCTGTCCTAAAACAGGCGAAGAGGTGAGAGGTCTGACACGCAAAGGTGGAGCTGGGGTCTCTGCTTGCTTCAGAATATCACTTGGACTAAGGAAAAGACCCTCTTTCTCCCTAAGCCTCACCTTCCCCTCACGCCAGCTAAAGACATGAGCGAAARGTGCGTTATTAAATGTACAGAGCCCCAGTGGGGGGCACGTTTCCCCCCAGCCCAGTCCCCGTCGAGGCGACAGGCAGCGCTCGCGTTGGGGACACGCGGCCGAGCCCGCCCGGCCTGCAGAGCTGACTCTTTTGCCCCCCAAACCGGCGCACGCCGAGYAAATCACCTTTCGGACACCCTTCGGAAAGCCGAGAGGATGCAGGAGGCAGCGGCGCTTGCAGACTGGGTTAACCCTTCCTTTTGACAGCCAAGAAATGCCATCGGAGGCCGCGTTTCCCAGTGCCAGCTGGTGATTTTGGGGGCCCTGCTCACATGGAGGCTGCGGGCGCTGCCCTCAGAAAGAGGGAAGCGAACTCGGCAGCCCCAAGGTGACGGTGGGATGTTACAGACCGGGCAGCTCAAACCGCTTCCAAACAGGGTGGCTGTTTCCCTGTGCAGGGAGGCGGGAAGGGGCGGCTGGAGAGCTGATATTCCAGCGGAGCAGCCAGCGATCAATTCCTCACTTCTCATCAGTGCTTAATTAAAAGGATGCTGGCGATTAGCGCGCGCCCTGCGTAGCTGAGTCCTGAGCTCATACAGGAGTGTTCCTGCCATCCTGCCGGGCGCTCCCGCTCCGGCCAACGCTCCGGGCCCGCTCCTGCCCAGCGTCCTGCCCGGCTAACAGCTCCCTTCATTAAAAAAGAGCCGGCTCAGTGGAAAAAGCCGCCCGCGGAATAATTACACAGGTGCCGTAAATGTTTGGAATCCGGGCGGAACGGGGTTGCGCGCGACACGTCCGCAGACGGACACGCAGAATAGACAATTAAGGGAAAATTGCCTCGAATCGGTGCCCAATGCGCCAGTCCTTTGCATCCTGCTGGCTGTTCCTGCTGGGCTATGGGAAGGCCCCTGCCCCGCGCCGGCTCGGCACAATTCCCTGGAATTAGGTGGAATTTCAGGCCATTGTCACGGTACCTTTATCACCAGGCTGGGCAGCTCTGCGGGTCTAAGACATTAATTTGCTCTGCTGCCTCCTCTGTGTTTAAGATTTAAAAGGGACCTGCAGTGACCAGGGCTGGGTACTGGTGACAGTCACTGGGCTCTGCTGCTCTCCAAGCTGGTGGCCGGGGTCGCTCCAAGGGCTCCTTGAGGCGCCCTCTTCCACAGCGCGCTCGGGACGAGCGGGAATGCGGCGATGGCGGGTATGGAAAACACCCGGGTGTTTTCCCTGCAAGGCCCTGCGAGGCTCCCGGCCGGACCCGCTCGCGCAGGGAGGAGGCCGCGTTCCGTGTCCTGCGCCTCGTGCCAAGCACCCCACGCAGCTTCCATTGTCCCCTTCATGTTGTGATCCAGGCCAGCAAGGCTGGAAGGCGCCGGGCCAGCCGGGTCCGCCCGGCCCAATCCTGGCGTTTCCCCACGTCCCTGCTCCCTRCCGCTCGGCACGTGCCAGCCAGGCCGTGCTGGCATCGCGTACGGGCCCACGTGTCTCCGCAGAGCATGTCAGGCTCTCCTTGGCAGCAGCTCGGCCGTGTTCGCACGGACGGTCCCGTCTCGGGGACGCGCGTCGCTGCGCGGCAGCAGCCGTCCCGGTTTAGCCGGAGCTCAGGACGCCCCCGGCAAAGCGCACGCTAATCCCAGCCACCTCCTCCCACYTGCTTGGAAGGGAAAAGAACAGGCCGGAGTGTTTAGGGTGTGGAATTAGGGATAAGTGCGGTGCCTCCTAGGGAAGGGGACGGCAGAGGCCTTGGGCACCGGATGCGCTCTCTCCCCAAAGCCGAGCACTGCAGGGGGAGGGAAGGGGAGCGGATCCATCCGCTGCTCCCCGTTTCCCCACGTCTTTCCCGGTGGGAAGAGYGGGGCACACCCCACAAACACCCCTCGAGGGTCTCACGCTGCTGCCCCACAGAACCAGCCACCGTGGGTGGCCCCTCGCYGCCCAGYGCCCCGTTTMTGGGCCACRGAGCGCCCTGYGCCGCAGCGCCAGCTCTTCCCGKCCAGCRCCTCTGCTCTATTCCCGGCCCTCCRTCTCTTCCTGCACTTCCTTGCTCAGGAAGGAAGCCCCCGCTTCCTTCCTTCCTTCAAGGAAAGGGCCGTTCCCGTGGGAGCGCTGGGAAGGCGCCGGTGCCAGCGCACGTAGAGGCGCCGCCGCCACCTCCAGCCACGTGCGACGGAGAAACGTGTGCGCGGAGGGACGGGGCCGGCCGCCCCCTCACCATCTGAAAGGCATCTGGCTGCTCTGCGCCCCACGCAACAGCTCGAGCGCCTCGATGTGCCGCAGCAGGGCAGCCAGGTCTGCCCAGAACGGGGCACAGCTCCAACCTGCTCCTCCTGACGAAGCAGAAACGTCTTCAAAGTGACCCCAGGTTGTCGGCTCAGCGCGCCTGGGCGGCAGGAGCCACCTGCCCGGCTCCTCCTCGGAGCACCGCGAGTGACTCATCTCCACCCGGCAGATGGTTTCGCAGGAGCGCGGACGGCATCGATTAAAGACACGAGCCTGCAGCCGCCCGGTTCAAACCCACGCTGCGCTCGCTCTTTGTAGGGCCCTGGGGTCTCCGCTTATCCCACCTGCAGTGCTGGCTGCGCCGAGCCCCCCGAGGAGAACAGGGCTCCCTTCCCTTCCCTGGGCAGTCAGCGGCAGCTCGGCCTCGTCCGGGCCAATGCCAAGCTGGGACAGGGCTAGGATGGGATGGGAAGGGGCATGGAACTGCTCCCGGGACAGATTCCCGCTGTAGATTCCCGGGAAAAGCTTCCACACTTATCGCCACATTGGGTAGACACTCCAATGCTCTCGCCACACGAAAGCGGAGCCTCCCAACAACCATTTTCTCCTGCTATTAGTTCTCCTGCTCTCCTTCTCTCCTGCTCTGCACCAAACGAGACATCATTTCTACCCAGCTAGAAGGGAAATAATAAGAATTGGGTCCAAACGGGGAARCGGAACCGGCCGCCGTGCGCGGCCGCTCTCTCCTCCTGGCCCTGGTGCCCCGAGCGCGGCGGGCGGCGCTTCCAGCCGAGAGGAAACGGGGCTCACATCCCGGCTCCCCTGCATCCCGCGGGACCTGAGGCTCTTGCCCAAACCTCTGTTCATTCTGGACCAACATTCCCAGCTTTGCTGATCCGTCGCTCCCACTGCTCTTTGCAGGYGTGGGTTTCCCTTTGCCTCTTTTGCTGGATCCTACTGCGGCTTTCCAAGGATGAGCCACGGCGGACGAGGAGTGAGGCCGTGGCCTCCTCTGGAATATGTGGGATTGGCAAGGGCGGGAAASCAGCCTCCCGCACTCTGCTCCTATGGACTGCACTGGAAGCGAGGAAAGGGAAGGAAAGCCGCACTTGGGAGAGCCCTTGGGAAAACAGCTGCTTTCCTTTGGAAAGGAAGGTAGGACCGTGTTCTCTTCCAAAGGGAGCGGTGAGGGGCCTGTGCCCGGTGCTTTGGACACCCCCYGCTCCACACGGGAAGCATTCGGAAGCCACAGGTCGGAGCTGACAGCACCGCCGCATYCACAGACATCAAAAGGGGGATAAATAAGCCCGGCTCTAGAAACACAGAGGTGCCTTTGTTAGCGTGAATAGCAGGAAGAGCTCGGCGGCTATCGGCACGGAGCAGGAACTCCCGAGGGAGCGGAGCGGGGACGGGCGCCCGCCGAGCCCCACACCGGCAACCGTGGCACCCCGGCCCGAAAACACGGATTCCCTCAGCCTGGAAAACCCACGCGGCGCAACGAGGAGCAGCTTTGCTGCACACGGGAAGAGCAACATCTGGAGCTGTGGATTTGGGCCTGCCCGGCGCGCCGGGAGTCCCCCCAAAGCCACGAGCACGGATTGAGATGGGTTTTAAACCCCTCACCGTTTAGCCAGAACATGAGGAGAGCCGGAGGGGAAGGGAAAAAGCCCTTGGCACGAGCCGCACTTTCTTCCTCGGTGCATTTGCTTTGTGGGCGGATGATTATTCGCCGTTTTTCTGCCTATCTTATCACAAAGGTGGCAAGCCTGCATTTAAATATAGCTAGCCCTGTAAAGCCAAAACAAATTTGGTCAAGAGGACGGTTAGTAAATTATCCGAGCTGAGGGCTGAAGGAAGCCCGGGCTAAAAAGGACACGGCCTGGCTTGCAAGTCCTCGGGTGAATTAGGGAGATTGTTTTCTCTATTAGAAAATGCCCTTTAAAGCTCTAATCATGCAAATTTTATCCTGCCTGAAAGATGGAATTTCATTATGGAGCTTGGCTTAAGTTTTCCTTTTTTTTTTGAGCACAAGAGCAAGCTAATTAGTGACACTACCACAATTTTATTAATAGCCCGTTAACGGGAGATAGGAAGAGCCCCCAAAATTCCCAGTGGCTTCACAAAGCGAAATGTCCGTCCAGGGTGAGAGGCTCCCGATGCCGGAGGGGATCCAGGGAACCCGTTTACCCCTCCGGAGCATCCCCGGCTGCCGAGCGCGGCCCCCTCCTGCCAACAGGAACCCGCTGCTGGAAGCGAAGGGATCGCAGGGTAAAGGGATGCAGGGAGAGGAAACCTTTATTTTTTATTATTTTTTTTTTGCTTTTATAGCAATAAAGGGAGAGCCAAGAGGGGCTGGGAGYGGCGAGGCCCGCGATGCCGTGGAGGGCGCTGGATCCGTCCCCGGCGCCGCGGGCTCCGCGTGGACATCCAGGGACGCGCGGCCACCGCGGCGCCYGGCGCTCCGCAGCGGGACTGAACCGCGAGCAGCAGCCAAGGGCTTCGTGTCCGGGTCCTCCCAACCCTGGGAAGAGGCTTATGTGGGAACAGGGGAGAGAAGGAAGAGGGAAAGGGGCTACAGGAATGATTCAGCTTTTGCAGGCCAGCCTGCCTGATCTCATCCTCATTTTGCTCTTTCCCAGGAGGGAAGTATTGGCAGGGAGACACAGGAGGACGGATTTCCTTCCCCAGCATCCAGCAACCAGCCCCCCGGCACCGTCCCGCTCCTCTCTCCGTCCGTGGATAGCTGGGGGGACGGCTAAATGTCCCTGCTGGAGCAGGGGGCTGCACTCGGTGTCTCCAGAGGCCCCTTCCAGCCTCAGSCACCCCAGGACTCYGATTTTGGACAGAAAGCCCCACGTCAGCGGCAGCCGCGAGGGGAGCCCGAGCGGGTCCGAGCTCTGCACGATTCCTCCCCGGCCTGCAGTGAGTCACGTATCCTTCCTGCGGCCCAGATTCCCCTGCCGTAAACACGGATAATACTTTCCCTTTAACATTAAAAACGAGYAGGGGGGCGAACGGCGCAGGGTTTACTGAGAGCTGCAGCTCCCAACCTCTGTTTTCCGTCCTTGCCTTCCAGGAACGGAGCTCTCGCTACCAGCGGCACTCGTGAAAGCGATCCTAAATAAATAAATAAAAGGCCAAGTTAAAGTAATGGATACGGAGGCAGGAGCCATCCTGTTTTTCGGGAGAGGCTGGCGATACCGGCCCAGCTCTCCGCCTCGGGAGCACATTAATGCTCAAGGACGGAGCGGGGAGGCCGCGGGGACTCTGACCCCGGATAATATTAATAAAACAAACACCKGGTGCCGCGGGAGCGTCGCAGAGACCTGCAGGGTCCCTCGGCCGCCCCGTTCCAAGCGGGATTTGCAGGAACAGCGCTCGGAGCACGGTGCTGCCAGCCTCAGGAACGGCCTGTTCTCGGTGCCACCGCAAGCCCGAGCGCCGCGCTGCTTTGTCACCACCCGTTAACGTGGCCCGGAGCGAGGCGACTTCTCCCGGCGCCGGGAGGAAAAACTGAAGGATTTGGCTCCTCTGGGTTTGAAGCAAGAAGATAACGGAAGGGAATCGGAGGACGCGCTGAGACAGGGCAAGTCGGGAGTGAAGGTTGGCTGCTCCAGAGGCTCCTGCTCCAAACTAAGCGGAGCGACCGGAGCAGCAGCCTCTGGAAGCCGCTGCAGAGCCCCGGGAGACCCCATTGCCAGGGAACAGCACCCGGGCCACCCACACCATGGGTGCCCGGGCCCGTTCGGAAAGACACCGCGGTCCTGGAGCGGCCGCTCGCACCCGCTCCACATCCAGGACATCGGTAGCCAGGCAGGGCGCTGAGGGACAAGCTCCAGCCAGGGAAACCGCCCTCCGAGGTTGTTTGGCAATGGGAAAGGTTATCCTGCCCCGCGCACGGCCGGCCCCGCTCCGTGTGCAGGGACCACGGCATGGGGGACAGCCAGGGGGATGAGCGGAAACACGTCCGGCTCCGGCTCCCTCTGCCCCGTCGTGGCACCTGGTGCCGAGCGGAGGCGTTGGGAGCTCCCGGGACGCGGTAACAACTGCCGGGACAACCGGCACCATGAGCCGGGGGGCTGGGGAGCTGCCGGATCCTTCCGGGATGAAGCCCCCACCAGGGGGACATCCGGAGCTCCCGGATGAGGCGAAAGCAATTGCGGCCTCTGYGCGTTCCAGAGAGCCACCGGACACGGGGACACGCGGCTACGTGCGGGGCTCGTGGTGCTCCCGGCTCCCCGCAGCCCGCGGCGTCGGAGTGAGCGGGCGGGAAGGGCCGGGCGGCTCCCCCGGGCCGGGTTCTGCGCAGGAGAACTCCGACGGCTTCGGAGCCAAACCCGGCACTGAGACCGGCACCGGGAGCAGCAAACGGCACCAACRCGGCCCCGGCGCCTGAGGAGCCGCCGGTGGATCCAGCGGGATGTGGCGACTCCCCTTCGGCTCACGGAGCTCGGAGATCCTGCTGTTTCTGCTCCTTCCTCTTGGGAAGATGTTTTCTACGGGATTTCTTTTTTAAGAATATTTCCCTGGGAACTGGCAAAACCTGTTCTGGCTGTGCATGCGGAGCCGGTCGCCATCTGTGGCACTTCCGAGCGGGATACGGCCTGGGGTCCCTGCTGCGCACGGGCGCCTGGCAGCCTCCCCCCTGGAGCACACCGGGAACGGGGAATGTTGGCACAGGATCACGGGATGGAGTCCCAGCACCTCCCTGCTCCACGGGGCTCTGGAGGCAGCCAAGYCGGAGCCTCTTCCCGATGGGAAGCGGGGGAGGAAGATCCCACCCCGCCACTGCAGCAGGGCASGTTTTCTAGGAGGGTCCTCACGGGCCTTGGTCCCGGCTACGTTTTCCTTCAATTAACAACAGACATGGAATTACACACAACACTTTAGGAAAAAAGAAAACCCTTCCACATGTTTGGGTTTGGCAGCACCTAACACGTCTAAGGGAGCCAGCCAAAAAATAACTAATCCTCCTTCCCTTGCAGCCAAGTGTGGAGCGGGGCTGCTGCGAGGAGGGGGTGCGGGGTGAAACGGGAAAGCGGAGGAGCAGAATGCYGAAAAACGGGACAACGGGGCCCAGTGGCTCCCGGGCGGCAGGAAGGGAATGGCCAGCGGTTCTCCGCGCTGGGATGCTCCCAGGAGGCAGCAGGAACATCCCTGGAGCGGAGGGTCGTCCGCGGCTTCCGAGCAGGGCGCGCGCTCCCTTCCCGGCGCTGAACTCCGCTTGTTGGGAATAACGGGGCTCCGCAGGGCGCGGGAACGCGGGGCCGGCCCCGGCGCCCTCTCGGCGCCCGCGTCCCGCTCGGGCTGCGCCGCCAGCGCCGCGCACGAGCCACCAGAACGGCTCCGTGCGAGGAAAACACGCACCGCGGGGGCACCAACACACCCGCAGAGGCCTCGTCTTACAGCAATTCCCCTCCTTGGTGACGGGCTCCATCGGTCATTCCCGGATGACGCGTTTAGACCTCGGGATCGCGCTGTTTTTGACTCCGGGATGAGCTTTCACCTCCGCACGCCCTGCCACGACGGCAGCGCGGAGCCAGCGCCGCGGGAGACGGGCTTCCAGCACTGCCCTTCCCGAGCCCTTCCCGAGCCCCGGCACATCCGCTGCGGGAAAGCGGATGGGATTCCTTATGCCCAGCCACCGCAGGAATCTATTATTTCGCTTTTGCTGCTTAAGCAAAACGCTTTTATGTAAATACGGCCGAGAAAGGAGGCAACACACGTAGCCAACGTAGTTGGAACGAGCTTGGAAGYGCGGAAACGCTCTGCCTGGAAACCCCACGGAGCCTCCGGGTGGACGAGCGCAAAATTCATCCGTCTTAGCCTTAAATCGGGGGCTCGAACGCAGAAATGGGGAGGGCCGGGCCGGCGCTCCCCGGCAGGCAGCTGGGCCGATTCCCGCCTCGCCCCAAAAACACGCTCTTAAAAACGCCAGCGTTAACAGCGGGGGCGCGGGGTGACCCCGGGGAAGGGGACGAGGCCCCCGGAGCGGCGCGGGAGCGCGATCCGCGCGCGGGGGCCGCGGGCCCGGCCGGGAAGGGGGGTTCGGGCCGGGGGCTTCTCCTCGTTCGGGGCCCCCCCAGCTCCACAGCGCGGCAAAGGCGGCGCCCCGGAASCCGCAGCCCGGGCGGCTCCCCCAGGACTCCGCTCCCCGCTCCCCTTTATTAGTATCACTAGTAATTAAYAACATCTCCCCGCTGGCGGGAGCGGCCGGGACAGGGGGGCGCCGCCATCCCGCCGCGCTCCGGGACCCCGCCGGGAGGGACCGGCACCGGTACCGGCACCACGGCGGGGCGACGCGCGGGGAGGCCCCCGGGGAGCGCGACAGCGGCGCGGGGCTAGCGGCGGGGCAGCGCGGAGCGGCGCCGGGAGCGGCGGGCCTCACCTGGCTCGCCTTGTAGAACTGCTTCTTGAGCCCCGCCACCGACATGGTG